CTCTCTCTCTCTCTCTCTCTCTCTCTCTCTCTCTCTCTCTCTCTCTCTCTCTCTCTCTCTCTCTCTCTCTGTGTGTGTGTGTGTGTGTGTATATAAATATATATGACAGCGGCATGTCTGGAGTGTATTTTTTGGCTGTGACAGACCTTTCTTTGTTTCGTGCGTGTTTTGCTTGCTTGTGATGGGGTGTGAACCGACAGTCTCAGTAGAGTTTTCCATCTGGTGTGGGTGAGTGATAGTCTGCTTTGACTTTTGCCACAGGTACCTTGAGGGCAGTGGTTGGTGCCCACCTCAAGGTACCAGTTGTCGGGCAGTCGTTGATGCTTAACCACAGCCGGGGTTAAGGTGGATTATCACTTACAGTGTAATCAGTAAGGGGATTCTGCAGACTGTTTAGGGTTCAGCCTCCTGATGAGTCGGTGAAACTCCGACGAAACAGTTTGCCACAGCCCCTCGTTTGTTGTCCTCTTCTCCCTCTCTGCCTACGGTTTACCGGGCAGCTCTGTTCGACTATATATATCACGCAGATCTCAACATGTACTGAACAGTGAAAGATGAAGTCTTGAGCTGATCCAGGTCAGAGACGGAGGCCGGCTCCCAGGCTGGAATGAAGACATATGGTGGGCAGGTGAGTCAGCCAGCCACACACTGCTGCCATCATATCCCTCTTTCCTCCAGTCTACTCCCCTAGTATTGCAGTTCTTCTCACTCAGGCTGCTGTGGGTTGTCGTGACTCTCCGTGTGAAGAGTGGGGCCTGGCCCAACTATATATCACTAGGCTTGGAGGCAATGCCTCCAATCCGTGTTCAGGTCTGTTCGATTTAACCTCCGGCCAATGGTCCTGAATGCAGGCCCAAGTTGTGGACCAGAGGACTCGATTTAACCAGAAACCATCCACCACGAGGAACCTCCTACCCAGGCCCTCAGGCTGCCCAAGATGAAGGTCGCGTGGCCTGTGCGCCTGCCAACCAATGCGGGAGCCTTGACGATATACTGTAGCCCTCTTTACCAGGGGGGGTGCAGGCAGATGCCTGATGGTCAGTCTCTGGAGGTATGGCCCCAATTGTTGGTTGGGCAGTTGAGAAATTATTAAAAAGGACAACATGCAATGATCCGACTCTTCAACATCACAGTCATGCAAGCTCCCAGGTCCACACAATACGCTTGCAATGCAAAGCAGTGAGAATAGATATCAGCAGAAACTCAAAGTACTTATTCCAAATTACACGAGGTCCTCCAAGAAAGGTACCGCCTTTGTAACATGTCGACAGTGTTAATGGCTCCCCTAGCCCTCTGACAGTACGACACAATGTTTGGGGCTGCCTCATGCAGCTCATTCTTGATGTATCATCTATCGTCCTCGGGTTCCTCGTGCTGGAACCAGATGTTGTACTGCTGCTGCCGTCTTCCCCTCTGAACTCCAGATATATTCGTCCACAATACGGTCTATCTGTGGCATACTGCGTAGCCACACGGGCCCTGTAGGACCCGTCCCGGACATTCAGCCTAAAAGCCTAAAACTTAGGATCTACAGGCCCCGGTCGTTTCAGCCTGAAAACTGAAAAACGAGGGCCTGCAGGCCCTACTCCGTTTCAGCCGATTAATGGGTCTTTCAGACCCAGAGTTTTTCCAGCCTGAAACGGAGGGCTATTCTTAGGCCCTGGGCTATTTTTAGGCCCTCATTTGTTTCG